CTCCTTTTTTTCTTTTTTTTTTTTTATTCTGGGCCAGCTTTAGCTTGAGGCTTTGCTTCAGCTCTTAGGCCTCTGCTGCTGAAAGTAGGTTTCTGACCTTTGCATACAATGTTGCGATCCTGCTGGCTGAAGTCCGGCGGTATTTGTTACAGAGTTTTTTAAACTGCCGGCTCAGAGGCCTGTAGCTGCAGGTGGGGAACGTTGGTTTCCTCCGTCACTGAGGCAAGCAAGCCTCATGTTAGTTTCAAGCTGCCTGGCTGCCAGCCGCCATCTTGGCTGACAGTTAATTTGCATATCTCGCTGATTAGCCAATGAAAAGCGTAGTGGTCGTACGCCAATTACCATGTTTCTCTTTTATTAGTGTAGATATTACTACCTTTTCAATTCTTTAATATTCTTCATATGCTTCATCTCACTCTTAATTTATTTTCATCTCTCTTAATCACCTACCATTTCAATTCAGACTACAATGGTTCCACCTTGCATATCATCTATTAACTCATAGAATTGATATTTTTAAAGATTTGTTGATTAACTAAATGTCATTCCTTAAATAAACTATGTTCTCCCCTGCCTTTTACTTGTTTTATTTTTTCTCTATTACTTTTCAGAAATTTCCATAACCCCTTCTGGTCTTCTTTTTTTCATTTATTTATCCTTGAATTATAATTATTAATTTAATTTTATGTCATAACAAAACATCAAGCAGAAGCAAACTAAACCAAGAAATATATTGTAACTGACTCTCGTTCCTTACCTCTCATTGCCTGAAGCAATGTCAGCCCCAAGCCATGTCCAGGGTTTCTTAGGATAAGCACTGTGAAGCTGAAGTTTCCCATATACTCCTGAAAATAAAATAAGCAAAATTCTTCAGATGAATTAAGGAAACATGAGTAAAATTCATTATAGAGGTAATTGGGCAAGATATGTGATATAGAAACCACATATAAAGATGTTCACTTATCAAAAAAGAGTATTTTAGTGCTCTGTTTTTAGCAGGTCAAATATATCTCACATGGACATGAAACTCACTCTCTCAAAAGTTATAGAAAAATGCATGCACATCACATCTAGTAATCCAACAGTTGGGAAATAGACGACACTACTGGCTAACTAATTAGATTTCCACCATTAAGTGACTCCACACCATTTGCAATTTGGTTGGAAGTTAACTGGTTTTGATATTTTATGTTATACACTAGATTTTCCAAAAGGCAAGAGTAATTTATTATTTCCTAAGGAAAGAGATTTGGTGCTATTAACTTTGTTTTCAGTGGTTAGATCTCTATTTCTTTATTACAGATATCAAAGAATAGATCTCTAGCTCCTTTGTTTCAAAATATAATTTAAGGCTCATAAATTAAAGTCTTGCCAAGGTCTTGCTTGATGCAGTCCAGTTTTATCCCTTCAGGTATTTTCCCTTATATGTTTTACTACATTTTAAAATTACATGAAGCTCAATTCCACATATCCTAGTGGTCTAAAAATGTTTTGGGCATGAACCCAAGCAGTAACAAAATTATAGTTATATACTCCTACTGCATGAATATTTATTTAATTAAATATACATATATATGAGTATATTCATGTTTATTTGAATAGGAGTTCTAGTATTTTCTTCAAATATTTTCCAAAGAATTGTCTACATACCCCTGTACTGGTGTGCCCAATTTTGTTGCAAATCATGAATCTTAAACTCTAAAGATCTTACAAATTTTAGCAGAAAACATGAATAAAAGAAACAAACACCAGTAAGGTACAAATAACATGCCTTAAGTTTTCATCTTATGTAAAACAAAAAAAGTTTCAAATATTGGAAGTTTAACCAACTATTTATGTCAATATCCTTAATTTTTTCCATACTCTTAATTCAAAGAAAAGCCAGAAGATAATAAAACTAAAATTAGAATTAATGGAAATGTAAAAAACACTCTGAATTTCAGCATATGTCCTGGAATCAATATTTCATAATAATAATCATATGTATATAAAAGTTTTAGAAGATACCATCATCATTATTATCATCATTTTAAAATTCCATCTTTTTCACTATTGGTTAAATATGGTAACCAATTTCTTCAGAAGAAGAAATATGAAGTAATTTAGAGAAATTGCCAACAACAAAAGATTTAACAACAAACAAAACACCCTAACAGTTTATTTTCTTAAATTTGAATTATCCAAAAAATTTAATTTACCAAAAAAGTAGATTTCTTGATCATTCACAATCATCAAAAGTTTACACATTATGGAAGTTACCAAACTTCAAACTATCCTAACATGTTTGTTTCCATTTTGCAGAGTCACTGATATTTTATGCAATTAGTAATAACATACAGAGTAAGTGAGAAAATACTAGAAATCTGATAAACAGTCTCTTATAGCTATACCTTAAAACTGAGTTATTGTGTGGCTCTTACAACATGTTATAAGAGACCGGTCACAGTTTCTATGATCTCCTGTAGAGCAATTTTAAAATAAGATTTGGTGTTGTGGCAGTATCAAATGGAGAAACTATCAATAGTAAATCTTTCTTTGTAATTTATAGATCTCTCAGTTTTAAAAAGTATATCTTCAGTGGCCCTATAATTGACCCCCCTACCCTTTACTACCCGCCACTCCCATTCCTTCTGGTAACCACCATACTGCTGTCTGTATATGAGCTTTTGTTTTTCTTATTTGTTCATTTGTTGCTTTCAGTTTTCTATCCCTCATATGAGTGTAATCATATGGTTCTTAACTTGCAATATACAGATCATATGTCATAGAAATGCACACTTGAAACTATGTAATCTTTTTAACCAATGTCACCCCAATATATTTATTAAAAATAATTTTAAAATGAAAAAATGTAATAAAAATATATCAATAATTACAAAGTATTTACAATTAATAATACAGACAGTCTAGATTTCGGAGTCTGCTCATCTGGATATGATTCTAAATTCTGACACTGTCCAGCTATATGGCCTTTTTCACATATTGTTCATCATTTGTAAAATGGGCACTGCTTACAGAAGCGCTGGTAAATAAAATAAATATAAATTATCCAAAACAGTGACTGGAATTTAGTAGATGTTCCAATATATGAATGGTGCTTTATCACACAAACACACACATATTTCATTTTTAATAAAAACTTATTTTTATTCTTACCAATTGTTCCTGGATCAATATGAATTCCATTGAAACGGTCACAAAAGACTCCTTCTGAGGCTCTAAGGAGAATCAGAAGCTTTTGTTCTTTTTGTAAGGGCTTTTCCAAAGTACCTATTTACAAAGAAAAGTGTATCTTTTAAATGAATTTCAAATTAAAAGAGAGAGAGAGGGAGTTGTGATGTAATTTCGGAAATGCAAAGTAGATGCTATCAAGTAGTCTGTCTATATGGAGAAGAGCCAATGGTCACACAGATGAAATAAGAAAAGGAGGGAAAATGAGATACAGTAAAAACTCTGAAGGGGTTTGGCTAACCATTCAGCAAAAATACACTTTTTTTCCAATTAGGGCAGAGTATATCTTCCTAACCTACTAGTATTTAGCTTGGTCATGTGATTTGTTTTGGCCAATAAAATTTGTGTGGAGGTGATAGCAATGCCAGTTCTGAATTGATGCTTTAAGTTGCTTGGCAAGTTTTCACTATGAAAGGCATATTCTTTAATTTTTTTTCAGTCTCTATTTCCTGACTGAAAAAAAAAAAAACAAACCTAACAGATATGAAGAGAACACACAAGCTGGAAGCAATTCCAACTCAGTCTAACATTGATATTTGTTGTGGTATATCTCTTAGGTTCATGGATTATTTCTTACACACTGTCACTACAGCAAAACCTGGCTGATGCATGTCTATGACTGGATACCCAAAGAGCTTTACAGCATTTTTGCATTTAATCTTCACAACAAACTTAAAAAATAAGATTCTCATCTCGATTTCAAATATCCATATATAATGAGGCTTAGCAGTTAAGGGACTTGACCAAATTTATCCAACTGGTAAGTAACAGAGTCTGAATTTGAACAATAATCTGCTTATGCTAAGTTTCCTATTAAAAAGTAAAAAGCTATTTTCTAAGCCTAAATTCTTTTAGCAGCATAATGACACAATCCATTCAGGCTATAACAGACATCAGTTGGAAATAGCTTCTGACATTATTCCCTTGATGTAAACAGTAGAGTTCATCAGTTTTATAGTATGAGAATTCTTTGGGGGATTTGCTCAAATAGTGGTACTGAGTATGGACCTAATAAATGTTATTTTCTTCTAGGAGTAAAGAAAATATGACAAAAAAATCAGTTTTTTCAAGAAGCACCTGATGAAAAGATAGTCTCCAAACTACACACTGGATCAAACAGGTTTATAAAAGACATCTGCTCTCAAACAAGACTTTCCAGTTAGAAATTCTTGAAAACGTAACCAAAAATAAGGTTGCCAAGTACAGTATGAAGTAAGTGGTAAGCTTAAAATTTCTGGATTGTCATTGTGGTTAAGTGGCCTTTCAGGGGGCATAAAGTCATCTTCCCCAGTTGGCACTTCACATAAACCTGGTTAACCAAAAGGCTCAATGTGAGTTTGCAGCTTGCTACATACCTATCTTTCTAGCCCAGGAGTACAGACATTAGTCTACCAGGGACTGCTGAAGGTAAGACTCAGAGAGGGAAGTACATCTGCTTAGAGTTGCACAGAAGGTCCAGGGGCAAGCAAGGGTTAGACCCCACAGCCTGTGTTCCCAATGAGATGCCAAGGCAGCTGCTGTCCGTGCAGGTAATGCCAACCCTCAGCCGAGCGACCAGCGTACCCTTTTAGCCAACACGAAGCTATTCCAGAGCAGACAGAAAGCAGGGGAAGAGGAGAACATTAAGAAAATGCGTGTGGCGTAGCTCTTATCTTGTGGTTATAAGTCTGTCCAGTAAGCCGTTTTCCAACTGTGATTTCATTTATTTCACGGAGGGTAGTTTAGATTCTTAGGGGAAAAATGGCCTAGCACTAAACAGATACCAGAGAGAAAAAAGTAGGGCAGTTTTTGCCCTAGAGAAATGTATGCAGCGTCCCACAAAAGGAGTTCAGCGTTCCTCTAAAATCAGAGATTGAATCAATTATGCAACTCAAAACGGCAGCATATGTGCAGCTTCCACAGAAAGTCTGGGCAAAATTAGTCAGCCCGCCTCACCCGCACCCCGAGATCTTGGGGTATCTCAAATCACCAGAGTTTGGATTTGTTCTGTGATGTGGGGGAGGGGAAAGGTGCAGGATAGGAACTGAGCAGGAAGAAGGCAAGAGTGACCTAAGAGAAGGGATATATATATGATTGTAACATTAAAATGAAGTGCATCTTAATTTTATAAAAGTGGGTGAATGGAAAGCCCTGCGGGCTGGCTCCTCATTTTATTCTCAAATCTATCAATCAAAGAAAGGTGAGCGCTCTCTCTAGGTGGGCTTTGCTCCTAAATGGGAGTAGCCACCTCTCACAGAAGGCTCTCCGGATAATGCTGTTCCTCCCTGCTTTTCCTTCCTGACGCTGCCTGGCACTGCTGGAAACCGTAGCAAAAGGCATTTTCAACCTGGACGAATTTAGATATACTCATAACGGAGGGAAAATCGTTGCCATTGTGCTGCAGAGAGGTGCCAGGTGTTTACGCATGCATGATTTTATTTATCTCTGACAACCCTGTGATGGATACTGTTGAGGTTTTTATGAGGAAACTGAGGCAAAGAGAGGCTAAGTAATTTATCAGAAATGACACAGCAAATAAGTGGTGAAACTGGGCTTCAACTTAATAAGTACCGTGTTGGTCATGTGCAAATAGATGAATAGGAATGAAGTAAAGGGAAGTTACCATTACTTAGTATGATGGTGGCCAATGGAGGGGAACAGAATATGTTCCAGATGTAAAATCACCGGGGGGAGGGGGGGTGGAAGAAAATACATTCTGGTATACGACAGATAACCATTATAATGATTTGAGGAATATGCTACAAATGGATTCCATGAGCTTCAAGGGTAAGAAAAAGGGAAAAGGAGCTTATATTATTTTATTAATTAAACCTTTTTTATAAAATCAGAAATAAACATAGTTTGCATGTAAGCCCACTCTCCCAACCTGACTCCCCACACCTTGTAAATAAGCCAATCCACATCCAGTCACTCATGATCCTCTCCACTCTCTCCTCTGCACATGAGCTGCCCCAGGCTTTGAGGTCCCTCACCTTTGTCCTATCTAAAACAGAAACATCCCTCAAAACGTAGCTTTCCTGTAATTTCTTTCTAAAAGTCTTCTATGATATTGAATCACATGCCCCCTTTTGTGGATAAACAAGCTTGTGCCCCTTGCTGCAGCAATTTTCCTTCAAGGAACTTGTCCTAAAGAAATAGTGTGGAACGTAGACAGATGAAGGCCCTAAGTGCCTCACTGCAGTATTATTTTTGTATGTATAAAAGCCTAAGCGACCAAATGGCCAGAAGACCGGTGGCTATGATGCAAACTGACCACCAGGGGACAGACGCTCAATGCACAGGATCACACTCCCTCCTTTCTGGAGTGGGCCTGCGGGGATTGGGCTGAAACTGGCTATTCAACATCCCCCAAGAGGTCTCAGATTGCGAGAGGGCACCGGCCAGGCCAAGGGACCACACCCGTGCATGAATCCGTGCACCAGGCCTCTAGTCTAGTTATAATAACAAACATTTGAAAACACTTTGAAATAGTACACAATTGGAAACAAGTTTGTTTATTTAGAACCCTCTTTTTCCCCTACTTCCTGGACATGCTCAATAGATGAACCACATAATTCCCTAAGCAAGCCCAAACCCACTTCAGATGCCACTCCCTCTGGGACCCTTCCTTGTTAACTAAGTGTGGGTTAGGTGGTCCTCTATAGGCTATCAAAGCATAGTGTGTTTTCACCCAATACTTCCACACTGTATTGTGAGTGCCTTTGACCAGACTGCTTCCTTCCCTTCACAGTGAGCTAATGCAGAGAGGTGACTGTGTATTGGCAGCAGTGTTCATTTATTTTATCCCAGAAATGGTGAACTAGGTCACTTTAACCAATTCTCTTGCAGAAAGCTATCAGAAATAAAGAGGAATACTGTACAGTTAAAAAGATTCATTTTGCCAATTGATATATATAAAAGCCTAAACGACCATTACAACCGAATGATCAGAATGACTGAAACGACCAAGCAACCAGTCGCTATGATGCACACTGACCACCAGGGAGCAAATGCTCAATGCAGTAGCTGCCCCCTGGTGGTCAGTGCACTCCCACAGCCAACCAACCACTACCCCTCCCCCTGGCTGGCCTCCCCATCGGCCCTGATTGGGGGAGGGGGGGGAAACCGGCCAACCTCCCGCAGCCCCCCCTGCCGGCCAACCTCCCATGGTTCCTCCTCCCCACCACCAACTTCCCGTGGTCCCTCCCCGAGCCAGGTGACCCACCCGCAGATAGGCCTCAATCACCAGCCTGGCCAAGGGACCCCATCCATGCACAAATTCATGCACCAGGGTTCTAGTGCTATAATAATGTTACGCATGGCTATGACTAGCATCATAGCTTTAGAATAAATAAAGCAAAAAAAGTGACAGAATTTCAATGAAGAAATAGATATATCCACAATAACAGTGGTAAATTAAATACAAGTGTTTATAAAATAAACAAAAATAAAGTTTTGATTAGTACAACTAGCAAACTTGATATCATGCATAATATTCTTTTCAAGCATTCCATAGACTTTCACAAATATTAATTATATGATGACCTTAAAGCTTAATTACATGATGACCCTATGACCCTATGATTCCAATCATTTTAACATATTTAAAATGATTGGAATCATACAGCATATGCTTGCTGACCATTGTTCAGTCAAAGTGCACAACTCATATTTAAAAAGGTTTACAAAATAAACTATTTTAAAATAAAGATTTTTCAGTTACTTAGAAATATCATTAAGAGAGTAAAAAGAACAATCTAAAGAGTAAACAAAGATATTTGTAATACATGTAACAGACAAAAGTACATTCCAAAACATATAAAACTTCAATAAATCAATATAAACATCTATCATAAAAGGGTAAGAAAATAGCTACTTCACAAAACAACATATAAAATAAACAGTAAAATTTTAAAAGTATTCAATCACATTAGAAATTAGAGAAATGCAAGTTAAACCAACAATGAGGCTCCACTATATACCTACTGGAATGGATTTATAGTGTTTAATTCAGCTATGTATTTTTTAAACTTTTCTGTACATGTGTATCATAGTAACAA